CAGAGAGATTCAAATTAAAACCACCATGAGATATCAGCTCACACCTGCTACAGTGGCTAACCTTAATAATTCAACAAGTAGAAAGTCTTGGCAAGGATGTTCGAAAAGTCAACTTTAATGCACTGTTGGTGGGAGTGCAGAATGGTGCAGACACTGTGCAACATTATGGAGCTACTTCAAAAAATTAAAAATGGAACTTTGACCCACTGACCCCACTTCTGGGAATATATCTAAGAATCCTGAAACACCAATTCAAAAGAATATAGGCACTCCCGTGTTCATAGCAGTATTATTTACAATACCCAAGATCTGGAAACAGCCCAAGTGCCAGCAGTAGATTAGTGGATAAAAATGCAGTGGTACATTTATACAATGGAATACTACTTGGATGGAAAAAAGGAAATCTTACCTTTTGCAATAGTAAGGGTGGTTATTGAGAATATTATAGTAAGTGGAAAAAGCCATTTGGAGAGAGAGACATATTATATGATTTCAGTTACATGTGGAATTCAATGAAAAAAATAAACTGATAAACAAAATAGAAACAGAGGCCTGGATACATGCAACAGGCTGCTGTTAGTGGGCAGAGGAAGAGGGGCGGCTAGATGAAAGAAGGTGAAGGGATTAGCCAAACAACATATGAACATGACCCACGGAGACACACAACAGTGTGGCGATGGCCAGAGGAAGGAGGAATGGTGTCTGGGAAGAGGGTGTGCAAAGGAGGGGGTAAGATGTGGGCATCTGCTGTAGTGTGAAGAATAAAAATAAAGGAAAAAAATTAAATTGAAATTTATTGAGATACAGAGAAGAGAGCTGAGTTTCTCAGAGTTATTCAAATAATATCTATTTGGTGACTTCACATATTTCAGTGATAAGTTAAAGGGAGTGATAAAAATTTTTTACTAACTGGAGTAAGGCTATTGCATATCATACTTTTAAATTTTGGAATAATGAATGATCTGAGAGCTAATGTCTTCTGGCTCTCATATACTGAGTATTAGGTATCTTTATTTTTCTTAACGAGAACCATATTTCATTAAATATGTAAGCAAATTAAATACATACTTATCTGTGGATAGGATAAGTATGAGAGACTTACATGAGGGAAGCGAGTCCCCACGTGCACGAGATGTTCAGAGGTGGAAAGGGACATGGTTAGGGAGTGCCAGGCATTTTTAATGTGTTCTCACTCTTCCCCACCGTCATGCAAAACAACATATCAGGAAACCAAGTCAAAGTTTACTTACCCATTCACTTATTAAACTGATACTATCAACCAAATCATAACATTTGCTCACTAATTCACTTATTAAACTGATAATTCTTGAATACCTATCTAACACCTGCACTAGATGCCATAAGTTGTAGCAGTCAACAAAACAAACTTGGAACATTACCTCAGAGACTTCAAAATATGATGAGGAATCAAAATTGATTATATAAATAAAATGAAAATTGATTAGTGATAAAGTACTTTGCTGAAAGTCACCAAGTTTATCTATACACAACTGGTTTTTTTCCTCAAGGCTGTACCTAATTATGAAAGCCCACATTCTTTATACCATGATGTTGCCAGATGAAGGTAAGGGCAACTGATGTTTATGATGTCTTCGCTCTATCTTCAGCACTGGATCATTTATAAGGATTCATTCTTTTTCCTGTGAGGTTGGTAATATTATTTTTGCCATTGTTCTGATGAGGCAAATAAGTCTTAGGTTAACTAATTTGCTAAGATTTTAGCTGAGTACTATCGCTTGGATTTTGATCTAGGTCTTGCTGTTAAGTCCATGAAGTAAGAACAGTGAAAGCTTATAACAGAATTAAGAAAGACAGAAGTTGGTTATTTAACAAGATTAATACATTAAATTGATAAACACTGAAAAAGACTGATGAGAGTAGGAGAAAAAATTTTAAGAGGCACAAATTACCAGTGTTAAGAATGAAATAGGTGATTTAATATAGATCCAATAGAAACTAAAAACTTAGAGGACATCAGGCACAACTGTATTTGGAAGATTTGAGAATTTGATGAAGTTAAACTTCTAGAGAAAACAACTTACCAAAATAACAGTAGGAAAATTAGAAAATCTGAATAGTTCTATTGACAAATTGACTTTATCATTAAGCACCTCCCCTCAAACAAAACAGATGGCTTTGCTGGTGAATTAATTCAAACATTTTTAAATAAACCAGTATTACATAACCTCTATCCAAGAATTGAGAAAGAGGGAACACTTAACTGATTAAGGTCAGCATAAACTTGATATCAAAAGAGATATTATAATTACTAGTTGGCTCTCTTGGAAATCAATGCAGAAATACTAAACAAAGTATTAGTAAGTGTTAGGGATATCTAAAAAGCATAATCAGTCATGACCAAGATAGCTTTCTTTAGTCCAGAAGTACAATGTAGTTTCTTCAATAAAGGGAAAAACTGATAATCTCAACATGTGCAGAAATAGCATGTAATAAAAAGTCAACATTACATATACTTTTAGCAGACTGTGCAGAAATAGCATGTAATAAAAAGTCAACATTACATATACTTTTAGCAGACTAACAATAGAACTTTCTTAATTTGATAAAGAACTATCTTTAGGACTTTCAGCGTGAAATATTTCAGTCTATCTGCCTTAGATTAGGAAATTTCTTGACACAAAGAAATTTCTCATTACTTTTACTGAGAAACATACTGAAGATCCTAACCAGGGAATAAGAAAAAGCAATGAAATGTAGAATGAATGGAGAGAAGAAAGAGATTATTCAGAGATAACATGAATGTATATATAAAAACACAAAATAATCTACAGACAAAGTTTTAGAATTAATAACTGAATTTTGAAATTTTGCTGAAATTCAATATATAAAATCAATTGTATTTTTAAAAGTGATTGGTTTTAGAGAGATAAAGGAAAGGAGAGAGTGAGGGAAAAACGCAGAGAAAGAGTGGAAACATTGTTTTGTTGTTGCTCTTAATTATGCATTCACTGGTTGATTGTTGTATGTGTCTTCTTGAACAGGGATTGAACTCCCAACCTTGGCTTATGGGAATGATGCCCTAACCAACTGAGCTACCCAGCCAGGGCCCAATATACCAGTAACAGAAACACAGAAAGAAGGTTTAAATTACCATTTACAATATCGAAGAACACCAAATGTGTAGAATAATTCAAATTAAAGACATGTAAGACTTCATCACAGAAACTATAACATTTAAAGTGAAATTAAAGAGCTAAGTAAATGAGGAGAAATGCCATATTCATAAAGAGCTCAATTTTTTAATGACTGTGGTCTTTCTAATTTTATCTATAGATTTAATACAATCTCAAAATTTTAGAAGCTCTGTTTTCCAATGGAAATTGTCGAGCCCATTATAAAATTTATATGGAAGTACCATGAACCAAGAAGAGCCTATATCAGTTTGAAGAACAGACGTAGAGAACTATCAAAACTTACTCTGAAGCTAAAATAATTTACATAGGTGAATGTGTATAAGGACAGGTTAATGGTACAGAATTGAGAGTCTAGAAACCAAGACATACAAATGGAAACTTGATTTATTGCAAAGATAGAGCTTAAGAGTAGGTGGTGGTGCGCTTCATTTTTTTCTTAAGTTTTCAAATAAATTGTGTCAATTGGGTATTCATGTAGAAAAACACTAATCATACCTTCAATCTCACACTCTACAGAAAGTTATTTCAAGTGGCTTGTTTATCTAAATGTGAAAGGCAAACAGAGTTTCTGGAGTGTAACTTCACGAATGAAAGACATTTTCATGAATGCAATATGGGAAAAAAATTTAAACAGGATACTGAAAGTGCTAACCACAGAGAATAAGGTTAATAAAATGGACTGCATTCAAATTGGGAACTTAATGACTTCTTGAGAGTGGGACATTGTATTTATAATACATATAATTATCAAAGGGATTGCATAAAATCTATAAGCAACTTTTATAAATATGTAAAAGATGGAAAAAGCCAATGAGAACAACAGGCAAAGAATAGGAATATGTACTTCACAAAAGAAAGTATCCAAATGGATACTTAACATGCAAAAAAAGGATAACTTCTTAGTCATCACAAAAAGGCAGATGAAAACCACAGTGCTCACTCAGAAGAACAGCTAAAATAGAAGACCCTGGGGGTCATGATGGGCGCCACCTCTCCTCTCAATACCTTCAGAAAATAATTCCTTAGAGAACCACACAGAAGTGGAAGCAGCCCCGAGACCAGGAGGCTAACAAGCTGAGCTTGAGAACTCCGAAAGAGATCCCAGTCTGACTTTAAGACCCCCCCCCCTCTTCTGCACAAGGAGAACTGCATTGCAGGAGTCATGCCCAGGAGTTTGCAGTTTTGCCTCCAGTCCCAAAGTTTAACCTGAAGTGAATGGAGGAACACAGGGTGTGTCTGAGCCTTCGTCCTCGGCAGAGAACCGCATGGGAGGGAGAGGGAGATACCACCCAAATTTGGAATTTGGTAATTCCAAATTTTAGCAAGGTTGTGGGGCTCCCACATTCTGTTGTTACTGGTGTGGATATAAATTGTTATGATGATTTGCAGAAACTGGCAGTGTCTACAAACACTAAGCATAGAAATAGCGATGACCCTGCAGAAGTGCATATGCATATGTGTTCACTAAAAGCCATTCACTGGAGTGTTCATGGCAGCATTATTTGAAATCCTAAAAAAAATGGAAATAACTCAAACATACATCGACCGTGGGAAGGATAGATAAACCAAGGTAAATTTCTATGCTGAAATAGTTGGTAACACCAAAAATGAATCAGCTAGTGCTATATACAACAACAACATGGATGAATTTTACAAATAGAATATTGACTAAAATGAGCCAGACACAAAATGGCACTTAGTTTATGGTTCCGTTTATGTAAAATTTCAAAAACAGATAAAAATAATCAATGGTGTTAGAGGCTAGGATAGTGATAATATTTGGAGAGTTGCACTTGGGGAAGTCCCACAAGAGTCATAGGTGCTACACTTACCTGGCAGGGGAAATACCATGATCACAGGGTGGTTTCCCAGGGTTAAGCTCACCCATTGCACTCCAAATATGCTGACTCCTGGGATTTCCCAAATGCAAGAAACTTGACTGCATAATTTGTGGTATTAGGGGACTGGGTTCGTGCTCTCCCATGGGGAAAAGGAAATTCATAGGTGCTGATAATACTTGGTTTCATTGTCTAGGTGGTAGTTGCATAGGTGTGATTACTTTTTGATAATACATAAAGCTGTGCTTATATAATTTGCATACGCAAATCATTAGTTTGTAGTTCACCAACTAACAAATGATATATTTATATTAAGCAATGAGTACGAATAATTGGCATTAAGTGAAAAAGTCACTATGTTAATTGGCAAACTTAAAATTACATCTCAAATTATAAGTATTATAAATTATAAATATTACTACAAGATGCCTTTTAAGTATGAGCTATGTATATTTCTGTTTTTAAAATGTTTTGGCAGTCAATTGTTTATGGAGTGGTTTATTGTCGTATTTTTCTTACTGGTTTTTTTTTTTGGAGGGAGAGAGGACGAGAGTGAGCTTTAGCCAAATCTTTTAAGTGAAATATGACTTTAAATGTTTTTCAGTTAAAGTATATATATAATCTACAGTGTACATTCAACTGATAAAACTGAAACCTTACCATAATGTTGAGAAGTTACGTTTTTCAACTCCTTTGAAGATAGTTAAAGCAATAAGTATAATTTTACAGTATATATCAGTATTCTAGTTTTATGAGGTTGAGAATATTCTCTGAAGTTGTTCAGGCAGTGCTTTCTTACATAGACACTTATATAATGATAAGGAAAAATTTCTTTACAGCTGCCTAATTCTTGAAATCTACTAAAAATTTAAAACATCATCACTGGATGAAACTAACAACAATCCAGGCAAAGCACTGTACCTCATTTTCAGTTAATTGTTTTTATATGAAATACTTCATTTTCTCCTATTTTGTTTGTTAGTACCGAGAATTGATATTATATATTACAATTAAATTATATTATAACCATATTAAGTTAAGATTTTAAATTAAAACATTTTATTTTTTGTTTTTTTAAATATATTTTATTGATTATGCTATTATAGTTGTCCCATTTTCCCTCCTTCACTCCCCTTCACCCTGCACACCCTCTCCCACCCACATTCCCTCTTTAGTTCATGTCCATCTGTCATAAGTTCTTTAGCTTCTACATTTCCTATACTATTCTTACCCTCCCCTGTTTATTTTCTACCTACCAGTTATGCTACTTATTCTCTCTACCTGTTCCCCATCTCTGCTCCTCCCACTTCCCTTTTGATAACCCTCCATGTGATCTCCATTTCTGTGATTCTGTTCCCCTTCTAGTTGTGTGCTTAGTGGTGTTTTTTGTTTTTTGTTTTTGTTTTTGTTTTTAGGTTCAGTTGTTGATAGTTGTGAGTTTATTGTCATTTTACTTACTGTTCATATTTTTTATCTTCTTTTTCTTAGATGAGTTCATTTAACATTTCATATAATAAGGGCTTGGTGATGATGAATTCCTTTAACTGGACCTTATCTGAGAAGCACTTTATCTGCCCTTCCATTCTAAATGATACCTTCCTTTGCTGGATAGAGCAATCTTGGATGTAGGTCCTTGTCTTTCATGACTTGGAATACTTCTTTCCAGCTCCTTCTTGCCTGCAAGGTCTCTTTTGAGAAATCAGCTGACAGTCTGATGGGAACGCCTTTGTAGGTTACTGTCTCCTCTTCTCTTGCTGCTCTTAAGATTTTCTCCTTATCTTTAATCTTGGGTTATGTAATTATGATGTGCCTTGGTGTGTGCTTCCTTGGGTCCAACTTCTTTGGGACTCTGTGAGCTTCCTGGACTTCCTGGAAGTCTATTTCCTTAGCCAGAATGGGGAAGTTCTCCTTTATTATTTGTTCAGATACCATTGCCACTTGTTGCTCTTCCTCTTCTCCTTCTTGTACCCTTATAATTTGGATGTCAGACCGTTTAAGGATGTCCTGGAGGTTCCTAAGCCTCTCCTCATTTTTTTGAATTCTCATTTCTTCATTCTTTTCTGACTGGTTTGTTTCTTCCTTCTGGTCCACTTCATTGATTTGAGGCCCAGTTTTCTTCCCATCACTATTGGTTCCTTGTATATTTTCCTTTATATTTCACTTAGTGTAGCCTTCATTGTTTCATCTAATTCATGATCAAAGTCAACCAATTCTGTGAGCATCCTGATTACCAGTGTATTGAACTGTGCATCTGATAGGTTGGCTATCTCTTTATTGCTTAGTTGTGTTTTCTTTGGATCTTTGATGTGTTCTTTTGTTTGGGCCATTTTTTTTGTCTTGATGAGCCTGTGAAGTAGTGAGGGGCGGAGCCTTAGGTGTTCACCAATGAGGGGCAACCCAGTTGCTGTGTTCTGATGCCGTCTGTGGGGCAAGGGTCTGAGAGGGAACAGTGGTGCTTACTCTGCTTTCTGCTGGGTTTCAGTCACTTCCCCCACTTCCCACAAGCAAATTGAGCCCTTCTGGTGCTGATTCCCATGTGGGTGGGTTTGTGTATGTCCTGGGACTGTGTGGGTCTCTCCAATGAACTCTCCTGTGAGCCTGGGAGTCTCTCCTGGCACCTCAACCCCCACAGGTTTTTTCAGTTGGTGTTTTGAAGCTTCATTTTTCTGAACTGGGACACTGGGTCACGTGGTCTGTCTCACTCCCCATTTTTGCCTGGTTTATCTGTGTGCGAATGTGGGACCAGAATAGCTGTGCCCCTCTACAATCCACTGCCTCACTGGGTCTGTCAGCTGCTGCCTTGTGTGCCTGGGTCCACTAGCCACCCTGCCATGTGTCCTCTCTCGGCTCTTCAACTCTGTCTCTCTTACCGGTCTGGATGAATGTGTCTACTTTAACTTCTTGGTTGTCAGACTTTTATACAGTTCAATTTTCTGTCAGTAATGGTTGTTTTTTTGTTTTTAAATTGTTGTCCTTATTTTGGTTGTGTAAGGAGGCACAGTGTGTCTACCTATGCTTCTATCTTGGCCGGAAAGTCTAAATTAAACCATTTTAATTTAAAAGTGCCCATTTGTTTTTTGTTGTTGTTGTTTGTTTGTTTTTAAAAAAGCAAAGGGGACAGTGTTACTCATGAACCATGTTTTATGATATTTTCTACTTCTTTTCTGTGTGTGTTTATATGTATCTACATTATGTGTATGTACTAACACCAATAGATTTCAGAAACAACCATTTGTCTTATTTATAAACTTAGAAGTGAAGAATATAAGTTAAAGAAATTATTTAACTTTTTAGCTATGTTCTTATAATAATAGACATTGGATCATAAATGAAAGAGGAATTTCAGCTATTTAGGCTTGGAAATATATCTTGGTGTACTAGATTCTGTCTTGATAATTCAGTGATTTACTTGATGACAAATCCAGCAATCTGTTTATATTATCAGTACTATAGACTTAATCTTCTCTTAGTGTTTCTACTGCCTACTTGGTTACCTACCTCCCTCTGCTTTAGTCACTTTGCACCAGTAAGGCTTTTTTGCTGTTTGGCTGGCTACTAAGCACATTTCTGCCTCTGCACTTTTGCTGATACCTCTGCTCAGATCTGTAGTTCCCAGATTCTCCCTAGACTCTCTCCATTATATGCAGGTCTCTCTTTTTGTCACTTCAGAGATAGATCCTTTGACTCTTCTCTATAATAATTCCCATTATTCTCTTTTCTTATTCCCTCTTCATTTTTACAATATTATCAAAATCTGATATTCTGTTGTATTTCTCTTTATACATTTCTCAGTAATTATAAGCTCCATGAAGGCAAGGACTTAATTGGTTTAGTTACTACTTTATTTCCAGCACCTAGAACCAAGACAGACACATAGTTAAGCACTGTATAAGTATTTGTAGTTAGAGTGAATGAATAAAATATAATAAAAAGTAAGTATCAGTTTGCATGGCTTAGCCCTCAGGTAAGTATGCAGAATTCATTGATTTTTTCTTCAAAGAAATGTAGGATTACTGTTAGTTCCAGCATGACTCTCTCCATAAGTATTGGTAGTAAGTTTAAAAAACACTATAATAATATAAAAAACTTTTGATCTTATCCTTTTTTAAAAAATTTATTTATTTTTAGAGAGGGGGGAAGGGAAGAGAAGGAGAAAGAGCAGGAGAGAAACATCAATGTGTGGGTGCCTCTCATGTGTCCCCTGCTAGGGACCTGGCTTGCAACCCAGGCATGTGCCCTGACTGGGAATTGAACCGGCAACCATTTGCTTCACAGGCCCATGCTCAATCCACTGAGCTACACCAGCCAGGGCTGATCTTATCCTTTAAAAGAGGAGGAAAAGCACTTGAGTGAAATTATATATAAAATATTTAACTTTGTCTTTTATGAAATAAATAATGACTAAAAGTAATATTTGTTCCAAATGCATTGTCTTAGTTCTTGTTTTTGATAATTTAAAAATATTATAGTACCTGCTCAAGTACCAATAAAAGTTATATAGATTCGTGTGTTTTTTATTTGTTTTTCTCTTTATATCTATTTCCACCCTACCCACCCCGGCCTTTTAAAAGAATCCAACACAAGTTGGAACGGCTCTTCAGGTTTTCCATAATCTTGGAACTTTGAAGAATACTATCACCAGTGTCGTGGAAGGATATTGTGCTGCTTTAGAAGAAAGTATCAGCAGTGCATTAGATGTCAAAGTTTTGACTCAGCCTTCTCAGTCAGCTGTGAGAGGTAAGGATATGGTTTATATTTAGTTTCTTTATTTATTTATAACCAAGAAGCCCTTTGAATAGTATATGAAACACTCGAGTTTCAAAGCAACTTAATGACTCATTTTTAATAGACAGAAAATGAGAAGAAATTATGTTTCAGATTTTATTTATAACATTTTTGTCTAATCAGTGAGTTGAACTGGCCAATTGGTATATTCAGAACTTGTGGATAAAAATCTACAAACTGTGACTTCATTTAGTTCAGAGGAAACAGATGCAGGGAAAAAAAGGAACATGTTTTTTTTCTCTGAAATTCATATCACATGTACTTCTTACTGAGATAGAAAATATTTTTTAAGGAAATGCCATCTCTATCTTAGCTTTTTGGGCTTTTCCTTATAATTTTGCTATTCAGGAACAACAATGGCT